CACCGGTTCTAGTTACCCTGTAGACACCGGTCTAGTTACCCTGTAGACACCGGTCTAGTTACCCTGTAGACACCGGTCTAGTTACCCTGTAGACACCGGTCTAGTTACCCTGTAAAGAACAAGAGAATTACCCTGTGAACACCGGTCTAGTTACCCTGTAGAGAACGGTCGAATTACCCTGTAGACACCGGCCTCGTTACCCTGTAAACAAGAGAATTACCCTGTAGACACCGGTCTAGTTACCCTGTAAAGAACGAGAGAATTACCCTGCGAACACCGGTCTAGTTACCCTGTAAAGAACGGTCGAATTACCTTGTAGAGAACAAGAGAATTACCCTGTAGACACCGGCCTCGTTACCCTGTAAACAACAAGAGAATTACCCTGTAGACACCGGTCTAGTTACCCTGTAGACACCGTTCTAGTTACTCTATAAGCACTAGTCTAGATACCTTATAAACACCGGTCTAGTTACTTTATAAAGAACAAGAGAATTACCTTATAGGCACCGGTCTAGTTACCTTATAGACACCGGTCTAGTTACCCTGTAGATACCGGTCTAGTTACCCTGTAAAGAACGGTCGAATTACCCTGTAGAGAACAAGAGAATTACCCTGTAGACACCGGTCTAGTTACCCTGTAAAGAACGGTCGAATTACTGTATAAAGAACGGTCGAATTACCTTGTAGAGAACAAGAGAAATACCCTGTAAACACCGGTCTAGTTACCTTATAAAGAACGGTCGAATTACCTTATAAAGAACAAGAGAATTACCCTGTAGACACTAGTCTAGTTACCTTGTAAAGAACAAGAGAATTACCCTATAGACACCGGTCTAGTTACCTTGTAAAGAACGGTCGAATTACCTTATAGAGAACAAGAGAATTACCTTATAGACACTAGTCTAGCTACCCTATAATTACCGGCCTAGTTACCCTATAAAGAACAAGAGAATTATACTATAGACACTAGTCTAGTTACCCTGTAAAGAACGGTCGAATTACCTTGTAGAGAACAAGAGAATTACCCTGTAGACACCGGTCTAGCTACCCTATAAAGAACGGTCGAATTACTTTATAGAGAACAAGAGAATTACCCTGTAGACACCGGTCTAGTTACCCTGTAAAGAACGGTCGAATTACCCTATAGAGAACAAGAGAATTACCCTGTGAACACCGGTCTAGTTACACTATAAACAACGGTTGAATTACCTTATAGAAAACAAGAATTACCCTATAGACACCGGTCTAGTTACCCTATAATCACCGGCCTAGTTACCTTATAAAGAACAAGAGAATTACCCTGTAGACACCGGTCTGGCTACCCTGTAATCACTAGTCTAGTTACCCTATAGAGAACAAGAGAATTACCCGGTCTAGTTACCTTATAGACACTAGTCTAGTTACCGTATAAAGAACGGTCGAATTACCCTGTAGAGAACAAGAGAATTACCCTGTAGATACCGGTCTAGCTACCTTGTAAAGGGTAAGAGAATTACCTTATAGACACCGGTCTAGTTACCTTATAAAGAATAGTAGAATTACTTTATAAATACTACTTTAGTTACTATATAAACGCTAATCTAGTTACGCTATTAACGCTAGCTAAGTTACTCTATAAACGTTAGTCTAGTTACTATATAAAAGCTAATCTAGTTAGGCTGTATAAGATTACTAAGTTACCTTATAAAACCTAATATAGTAACCTTATAATACATAGTCTTTGTACCTTATAAAGTACTCCTTAATTACCTTAATAAGTATAGTATACTTACTTTATAAAGGATAGCTTAACTATCTTATCTTATTAATAATTAATTTTAATACTTACTAGTTAGATTTATCTTATATAAAGTTTTATTCTATACTTATTCCTTTATAAAGTATTAGTGCCGGTAACCTTTAAGTATTTACGGTTAGAATTATCTTACTTAAGGTATTATTCTATAGCTATCCCCTTATAAAGTATCTGTACCAGTAACCTTTAACTTTTTACGGTTAGAATCATCTTACTTAAGGTATTATTC